GATGGCCAATAACATTGCATTTCTCACTTTAAGCCTAAACAAATCTTCTGTCTAACTGACTAATTAACCAACATACACTAAGTGGATATCAATTGAATGGTTAGAAGTTGTGAAATATTTCTTAATAGCACTTGCTGGTTAGTTGCTTATTTACCTTAGACCTACAGTTCAATTATATGTTCTAGTTTTAAAAAATATATCTTATCTGTGTCTCCTGTACTTTTTATACAATTGTTCCCATACACAGTTAAGGAAATGATATAAACAAATGTCTCTGCAAATGCACAGGCGCAACAGTTCAGACTGGCCCACCTTTTAAGGAGGCGATGGGGCACCTACAGACCTACACTGTGTTGCCAAAAGTATTCCCTCAAACACCCAAATTATTTAATTCATACAAAAGAATGGGTCACTCTCAGGGGCTCAGTCAATTCCTGTGTGGTGTCGTAATAGGATGCCACCTGTGTAACAAGTCCAGTCATGAAATTTCCTCGCCTTTCTACAGTCAGCTGTTGGTGGTATTACAACATAGTGGAAGTGATAAGGAACGACAGCAACTCAGCCATTAAGTGGTAGACCACGCAAAATCACAGAGCCATACCAGTAGATACTTGGGGCCATAATGCACAGAGATTGTCAATTTTCTGCATAGCCAGTCGTTACAGACCTCCAAACTTCACGTGGCCTTCAGATTAGCTCAAGAACAGTGCATAGTGTGCGTCATAGAATGAGTTTCAATGCCTGAGCAGCGGCATCCAAATGTTACATCAAAGACATGGATGAGTGAGTTTGATGTGGAAGAACTTGACTGGCCTGCGTCAGTCAACCCGACTTCAACCCAACAGAACAACTTTGTGATGTATTAGAATGAAGACTGCGAGCCAGGCATCTCGTCCAACATCAGTGCCTGACCTCACAAATACGCTTCTGGAAGAATTTTAAAAAGTTTACATAAACACATCGGTAAACCTCATAGGAAGTAGGGATGCAACGATACCGATACTTGGATCTGAGTACTTGCCGATACAGAGTACAAAAACCGATACTTCTACCACACACACACACACACACACAAAT